AGAGAAGAGGCACTGAGCTCTTCCCAACTTATCTTCAAACGCCCAGCACCCTAGAAAGTTTCTTTAAAAAAAATAAAGTCTCTCGTTCCCCCAAGCACTGTACCCGTTACTGTAGCTGCTGTCTCTCCCTCTTCTAATTATACCCATGTGAGTCTATTAATCAACTTGTAAATTATTTAGAGAGCCATGCGCTGTCTTCAGCCAGTACAAACACACTGCATGCAAAGACTCGCTGAAAACCAATGGAGCTCCCAAAGGGTCTCTCCAATGTTCAGACAGCTCACAGCTCGCCAGCACAGCTCTTAAAAACAAGGAATAACACTCAGCTTTACCTCCTCAGATATAAAGATTTACTCAGCCTTTCAACTCTGAAACTCCTTGCAAGTTTTTAACAAAAAGAGCTGTTTTATTGTCGGAGCTGTGTTTGGCACTTAGTGATGAGAATATTAATTTTGTGTCAGAAAAAAAAAAAATAAAAACAACCTGAGTGTTTTTCGGTGAGGCTGTGATCACAATCACCAGGGGACCCCAACTTTCAGAGGCTACACCAAAAAGCACCCCTTTAAAACCGTTCCAATTTAAAATAAGGGGAAAAGAAATCCATATTTGTACGGTAATAGTTTTTATTAGGGGAAAATAAAAAAAAAGGGAGAAATTAGGGAATTCCAGATTTTATCCCCTACGTGCAAGACTGCCATTGGGGACAGCTTCAGATATTACTGCTTAAAAAAAAGAAAAAAAAAAAAAAACCAAACAGAAAAAGGAAGGGGGAAAAAAACAACACAGATTGTGTGTGTTCAACTCTAACAGGCTGCAAACAGTGCAGTGTTATCTGTCTTCCATGAATCAGCTCTCTTACCACCTGAATCTTCATTTTGGTGGAAATAACACACCCAATTACCCAAACTAATAGCAGTTCTCCCAGCTGAAAAGCAGGATCTTACTGGTTTGGGAGTGGGGATCTTTTTCCCCCTTGCTCTTCATGGTGTTTTCCAGTCATCTCACTTTTCTTGGCTCAATTTATTGCTGCCTCACAAACAGATATATTAATTAGCAGTGATCACTCCACTCTAAACTACCATGAAAATTGGACAGAATGACATACAAATTTCAGCTGACTGATGACCTGCCCTATTTTTGTGGGGTTTTTTCAGTAATAAGATGCAAACACCTCAAGGGGGCAAACACCAGGGACATTTGGGTGGGGGAAGCAAAAATGCTTTCTACAATTTTTTTTTTTTGTCTCCCAGGTTATCAAATTCTGACAGACACCTTTAAAATGGTGAACACAGATCCTGTGGATGGAGGATAATTTAATTTTTAAGTTAATGTGTGCCCATGTTTTCAGTGAGACAGGTCTAGAAGTCAGTCTAGCCCTTCTCAGAACTACAGGGACAGGAATTCTGCACAAAGGTCTTCCTCAAGCCTGTGGGGATCTAGGAGGGGTCTACCTACATCATCTGCCCAGGGAAGGACCAGTGTTCCAGAAAATTTCATGAGGAATCAAACTAAATAAATTAATTTATGGAGTTGTCTTGCTGCCTGTGGGAGGGTTCTGGCCACTACACTCACCTCTCACTCCAAATGAAAGTCTCCCCAGGCTGCCCAAGCAAATGGAGTGAGCTAAATTTAGCATTAGTGACCAAGATTTAATCTAACTGGAGTCAGTGAGCAGAACACTGGTCTCAGACTCCAATGCTGGTAATTTTCTGCCCAGAGTATAGTTAGTAATAATTGCCCAGTACTCAGTGAAACCACAATATCCTAAAGGAACAGTCTGTGCATTTCAGACTGGTTGTCCAAAGCACAGTTCTATGTTTATGACAGACAGAAAGCTGTCAGGTTGCTGAACTTATCACCAAAAATGCATTTTTCAATATCCAGTGTGCACCTACTAGGCTAGTATGTCCTGGGAATTAAAAAATTAATGGGCTCAGAAATATCTATGCTGCCTTCATTAAGCAAAATAAATCCCCATACCCAAAATTGAGGAGTTTGATAAAGCAGGTCTTTATGAGACAGTAAACACTAGAAAATACAGAAAATGAGAATGCACTGGGTTGCCTTCTGGGGTGAATAATAGAATTGTCTGGGCTGTTCCTGAAATACATGATGAATACCTGAAGCAGCAGTGCTGAAAAACAGCATGAAGGATGTTTGTGAATCCTAAACCCATGAAGAGATGTGCTAGTCAAGCTGAACTAGAACAGAACAGGCAGAGCAAGAGCCCCAACAACTCAATAATGAGTTAGCTTTGACTAAGCTGGGTTTGGAGCCTTGTTAGGACCCCACCACGTGCCCTGCTGGCATCTCTTAAATGACTAATTGCAGGCAATCAGTCGTGTCCACGAGAAGGGAAACAGGCTGAGATCAGTCCCCTGGGGGAGCACTTTAGGAACACATGAGCCATATCCTCGAGGTTTCGTGGCACGACGTTCGTTTTGCCCAGTGATGATTTGAGTGCAACGTTTTTCACGGCCTGCCTTTGGTTCCACTATTCTGGGATGGTGTCACTGGCACAATTCCTCCCCCAAAGGACAAGCTGAGCCCACTTACAACTGCAAATGTAGTGAAAATGTTGGAGTTCTCATTGCTTTCCTGTCATAACACTGCCTGCTGTTGACTGCACCAACTCTTTTCAAAGGGAGATTTCCTTGAAACTGGATGTGGTCAATAATGATGTGAGAATCTTTCCCCTGTTTTAACCTGGTTGTAACTCTGCAGCAAGAGAGCAAAGATGCAAAGATCCTTTGCCCACCTTTCCTTTTCAGTACACTGCGTTATTTCATTTTCCCCGAGCCTCTTGTGAGGGCACTAATGAATTCCTGTTAGTGTTTACTAATGTAAATTCATTCTTTGTTATCCCTGGGAGAGGAGGATTAGCAAAATGACAGAACTTATTATTTCTGGTATTGCTATATGATATTTATCTTTACTCAGCCCTTAATTTTGTCCCACTAAATAAAATATATGTGTGCATACAAGCAAAAACTAAGGGAGAATTTTTAGCATAGTGTACAGAAATATAGTTATGATCCCTATTAACATTCAGAAGTGTTGTACAGCTTTATTCCTCCATGCTGTATTAAAAAAATTAATCTAAATCTGAAATAACTTCTAATTTGGAGGAAGAAAGGAATTACAGCTTCAATTTCATTTTCCTGAAATGAAAGCAGCTCCCTTGGACTGAGGATGTGCATATTTTTAGGACTGGCTAAAATTTATGACCTCTGCAATTATTTTAGTCTACTGGGAATGCATTTGGTATCTCCTTAAAGGAACTGTAGTGGTTAAGATGAAGTTTATAAAGTATACAAAGAACATTTTAGTAAAGAAAGCTCGTAAAGGACCTATCTTTGAATAAATAGACCAATCCAAACTCCCATCTCATCCGTAAGTGAAATTTAGAGAGCGAGGCATTTACAGGGGTTGTCCTGCTCTTCAGAGAGATGAGGAGAAAGTGAGACCATGAATAAAAGACACAGAGCTTAAAATTATCTCTGTGTGTGAGTTACACACAAATAGCCACGCTCAGGTCAACCAGACTGTACACATGGAGAAGTTATTCCCACACAAGAACACCTCGGACCCACCGCATCAATTGACCTCCTGCCTTGGAGTTAAATGGCCACTCTGAGCAGCAGCATCTCCAAACCAGAAAATCCTCTCCCAGATCTCTGTGCCTGTTCCAGAGGAGCCAGCTTCTCCCTTCCAGGCTGCAGAGATCCATGCTTTCCATTCCCATGGTTCCCAGATAACCCCCTATTCCCAGTAATATGGAAATTAATGAGCTGAGTTACTCCACTATGAATAAATGCAACCCATTCACTAGAGACGAAGTTTAGAGTTAAAATATATTACCTTGTGGCTTGATAAAGTGCCTGACAGAGGGATAACATTCCCAAAGCTACAGGCTGTCAAAGGTCTTTTGGAAATGCTTAGAAAAGTCCTGAATCTCTTGGTCTGGTATCAAGGGAACCTCAGTTAATTTTACAGGCTCATGTTTCAGATCTGTCTAATTCAGTCTCAGAATTAAGCTATTGTGCAAAAAAAAAAAGGGAGGAATTTCAAGCTTTCCACCTCACCAGATAATTTCCTTTGCTAAAAATAAAAGGCAATGAAGATTTCGCTTTTCTCAGGGGGGGTTTGCTCAAAATTCCATTAAAACTGAAGCTTAACTGAGATTTCTCCATCTTCAGCACGTTTGTCTCCTTGTGTTTGTACCACTGGTAACTGTTTGGCCTGGTGCCAGAAACAGGACTGAAAGTCCCTTTTCCAGGCCACTGTAATTTGGCAAAATAAACATTCTTCCATTCTTACTGCAATGCAACTTCTCCTCTGTAACTACAGATCTTCTCTGGTTTTTAATACCCACCACACAGAGACAGCTCTGCTCGTGCAGGACTCCCAGGCAGAGAAGCTGAAGCTGCTGCCCTAAAGAGCTCCCAGGATTTATGATTTATCTGAAATCACTGCAGAGCCTTCCAAAAGCAAAGTATGCTTAACATTCTCTGTGGTTGTCCCCTCCTACAACCAAAAATGCTGAGAGAAATGAAGTCCAAAGAACCTTTAAGTTTAAAATATTTGTGTGGAAGTGCAGGAATTTAGGGTAGCGTTCTAGAAGTCAACATCCACATGTAAAATGAGACACAGTACTGTGCTTTATGACCAGTTTAACACAACAGTGTGCTTTAAAAATTAGTTCAAGATTTTAAAATCATATTAGAATCCTGATTTTGATTGAGAGATAAAACCACAGGGTTTGAATTTCAAATTTCACTGGAGCAGTGAATTATTTGCTTTGAAGATATAAAAAAACCCTCATAAAATCCAACTTCTGTCACGCAGTGCTACAAATCCCACGGAATGGATGGAATTAATTGACTTCCAGGTTACTCTTAAGTAACTCAGATTAGAATCTGACCAAGAAAATTCACTCACAACTCAGTTTTTGCCACAGATTTGTAACTGGGGTGTAATGAGAGAACAACGTGCCCTACCTGGCCATCCATTGTCAATGTAAGGCTTAATGAGTTCTCCAAGATTTGTGTTGTCTGCAGCAGCTTCCTTTAGCAGTTGCCCACAGCAAACTAACAGGAAGGAAGAACAAAAAAGACACAAGGTTAAATTTTAAAAAGGAAGCAACAAAGAAAAGAAAAAAAAAAAAAAGAAAACCCAGAAGCTGCATACTGGGATAAGGTCACTGAATAAAACAAAAGTTGTATGTTTTTTGGGTTTGTTGTTAGGAATTTTTTTTTTTTTTTTTTGGTCAAGCAGAGTGAAAAGCAAAGAGAGGGAGAATATTGAATAAAAAAAAAGAATATGTTTGGCAAAGAATGTATTAAAAATGGAGATGGAAAGATATTAATCAAAAATGTTTCTGAAATAATAACTCAGGGGATTGCCAGTGGTTTTCACTTTTTATAAACTTGTAATTACTGAATAAAGTTACACCTGCTGAACAGCATCTGAACCACACTGCTGGAGGTGCAGATAACACACAGTTCAAGGAAGGGACTCCCAGGATCATTTAATGATCATGTAGGAATTACATTCAAAAAGCTGTGCTAATGCAATATTATCATTGACTTCAAATACACAGAGCACCAGGAGATGCAGATTTAAATTTTTAGCCTTGCACGTGAAATATTGTTACTTTGGACAGCATTTGGTGACCCAAGTGATTGAGTCCCACCTGCCCCACATGAGTCAGATCCAACAGAGCCTTGTTTTCTGGGACAAAGCTGATAAAGTTTAATGTTTAAGTGACAATTTTAACTGTCACTAGTTGTTCTGGAGAAGCAAATTTATATTTACAGTAAATAGTGTAAGAAGATAACAGAAACTCATGTGCATAGACCCCAACCTGAGACACCTAAAATGCACACACCTAAATTCAGTCCAATTCATGTGATATTTAAACATAGGTTTAAATTTTTAAGCCTGTGCTTCAATCCCAATGGCCTAATTGGAAATAAAGAGGGATTTATTTCGTATACATTGAAGGAACAGTAAAGAAACAAACTTGCCGTTGTTTAACTAAGAGGATATGACTGATCAGCAAATTTTACAGATATTAGACATTGGTTTAAAACAATTTATAGCCATTTCACTATTAGAAGATGTTATAGAGCACTTAAAATACTGCACCAGTCCTATCACCAAGCTGCACACTCGTATTACAGAAGTTTGTAACATTTGCATGCTAACCATGAACAAGTCTCATACAGGAGTTTGTTGGGTCTCTTTTACAAAAGAAAGAGAATGTATCTTTCACTAATTCCTTCATTTTCTCCCATGTTACTTCAGATGTGCAGAACCTGAGTACTTATTAAAGTTCAGAGTAAATTCTATTTTAAAAGTGCCCCAATTTTGGTCAGACAGCTGAGACTGCAAAGACATTACTCGTAGTCCACTGATCCATAGGAGAATTCAGGGCACTATAGGAACTGAACAATGGAAAAATACAGATGTAAAGGGCATAAAAATGATGAAATGATGACTAAAAAAAAATGTTAGAGCTGGTTTGTCACAGCACATACTCTTGGTTTATGCCTCTCCATTCAAATACTTTTCACTTCTCTCCAAAATCTGACATCCGTAGCAAGGGACAGACAGAGACATTTTATGAGCAAGTAAGAGAGACAGCAAAAGATAAATGATCAAAACCAGAGAAAGGGGGAATTGAGCAAAGTGCATATTTACTGAGAACTTACTGTTGACAACCCCGTATTTCTGAGCTATTAGTGCTGCCTGCAGGCTCTTCCCACTGCCTGGGGGCCACAAAAGATGATCCGTGGGGTGAAGGGGGCGGCCGATCTGTGCCGGCTTTGGACATAGGCAAGAACTAGAACATGAGAGAAAGGCAAACAATACAGTTTGTAGCCTATTTCTTTCAAAAAAAAATAAATTAAATAAAATCATTAACTTGTCTCTTCTTTAAAAAAAGGTTGTCATGTTGATCATCATTTATTTAATCACTGAAACATCCAGACGTGCAACCAAAATAAAACTGTCCCATCAGCAACTTGCTCTGAGAGGCATTTTAGAAATCTTACCATCATTACACTCCTCTGCTCTCTTTCATCAGTAGCTGTGAAACCATTTTAGAGAGCAGATTCAATTAATAATCGCTCTTTTACCATCTTGTTTTTAGCAGAAGCAATTTTTGCTTGATAGCTGCAATTTTGCCACGCAAATTATAGAGGGCTATAATTACATTTAATACTTTCTGCAGTTTCTGAGCAAATATTTAAGTGTAAAAACTCAGGATGTTAAATTAATGACATTTATCCAGCTGTGTGTGATTAGGACTCCTAATTACAACACTATAGACTTGTAGCACAGGGTGTCATGACACAGCACCGACAGCACAAAACTGTGTATCGATGTGTTTTCCTTTTGTCCATCATTTCTGTGTAATATGCAGAGAATATTTGAGCTTCTCTGTCTGATTCCACTCATCTGCTGGGCATCATTCTCCTGAATTTTGTATCATGCAGGAAACAGAACCTTCATGCCCATGTGCAGATGATGAGAGCTTTGCAAAGAGCACAGCACACGTGAAGCAGCATCAGTGTTCCCACGTTAGAGAGATCTGAACTTTGTTACAATCCCAAAACAGTAATTGAGAGATCACTAAGAAGCCAAAAGCTGTCACAGCTTGGTAGTGAGGAGAAACTGGGATTGAATTTGGACATGGCCAAACACTCTCACTCCTTGTGCCCTTTTTATGGCCAACAATGCCAGAGGAGGAGCAGCTCAAGCTGCAGCCTCACTCAGGTTTTTGTGTGATCTTCAGATCCAATAAAAGACTCTCCAAAGAGTCCCTGTAATAAAACAGTATTTTAGTCCAAGCTTGTTTGTATGAATCAGAAACCTACGTTAAAAAAAGCACAGAGGGTTTGGTGGAGAACATCCTGAGGGATCAGTATTTTAACTGCCAAGGTCAACACATGGCTCTCAGCTTTTCTGAGAACCTTCTCTTAGACAGTTTGGGATCATTAAAAAAATCTTTTCTAATAAGGAAGCATCTCCAGCAAACTCCAGCCTGCAATTTCTAGATAGCAGACCTAAAGCATTGAGAAATTCAAACTGCAACCCCATGGGATCATATCCCATCATATCCCATCTCTTCCTGCAGTGCCACAAGCTGTGCTGGGATCCCAAACCACCAAACTGGATTTGATGTCACATATCCTTGCCCAGGGTAGCAGCAACTGAGTTGAAGTTATAATGCTATAATTATGTGACACAATCCCCAATATTACTAATATTTATGAGAGATCTCCTCTTTCTTTTTTTTTATCTCTTGCTGGAGTGATAAAAATACTTAACAAAAGCACCTGGAAAATCATAACAGAAATAAGTGTTGTTGCTGCATAATTTCCTAAACCCCAAGTATCAGCTACCCAAGCAGTGCTCCAGTTATTCTGAACATTTTCCATAACCCAGTGTATTGAAAAGCACAAACATTACAGGCAAAGCACCCTGCTTACAAATGATGCTTAATTTGCAGTAAATAACCAAGTTAATTAGGAGTAATGATCCCCTAGACAGTCTCCACATCTAATTATTCTTTAAAAAAAAATCTGGCTGCTTGATGCACTGCAGAAAAAAAGATCTAGAGAGGATTTTTTCATTCCAGTTTTCAATTTATCTCACTACATTATTAATTAATAATAATTAATATTCAGGCACTCACATTTTTATTTACAATTCAAGGCATGAATTCTTTATGAATGATGATATGAACTTTTAAATTTAATTAAGTAATTTAGAGGTAATTAATGTGTAAATTCAGAATATAAACTTCCTACTTGTTTATCTTAAAAGTGTGGCACTCGTTATTAAAAAAAAAGACCTTTTTGAGATGCAAAATTACTGGGATATAACAGATCATCTGCAGACTGACAGCTACAAAGTACATCATCAGTTGGTCTTTCTGGCAGTTTCCTTATTCTCTTCTAGAAGGATCAACATTAGAAGTCAGATTGCATTACAGTCAAGCAAAGCAAACAAGAGTTGTTGAACACAAAAGCCACCAGCACAAACAGCTTTTAAACAATGAAATGTTACTGCCTTTGAACTACTCCTGCTTCTTGTTATCAGGCTTTGGATGTTACCAGCCCTTTGGGAGATCAACAATCGAGCCACAGGGCTCCCTTTTAGAGAGAGCCTCACAGAAATAACGGTGGCATTTGCTCATCCCAGTCTGCTTTCCTTGGCAGGACTGGGCAACTGAGGCTTTCCAGTTATCTGCACTTACTCCAGTCCTGTAAAATAATTACCAGGAACAGCCCAAACACTGCACTAGAGAGAACACAACCCAGCTGGGAGCCATCTGTGTTGACTAATCCTACAAAGTGTCCCTAACAGCCAGGAACGACCTTTCCAACAGGACCTTCCCAACTGTCAGATTTTGCCATAAACGCACATATTTACCCTGTGAGAGCACATCCATGGAAGGCTGGTCTGCATTGATGGATTTCAGAACTTTCTGGTAGATCTGGAAAACCTCAGGGAAGTTTCTGTGATATTCCAGCAGTTTCTTGGACACCTCTTGTTCGGACAGGTCGTCGGGTTTCACCAGCCGTTGCTGTACCAGAGGATCGCTCGGCCACTCGAAGGTTGTGTGATAAACCTCTGCAAGTCAGATTGGGAACTAAGAGCACATCTTAACAGGTCTCTGGTTAAGGATGTCCCTCCCAGTTCCCCTCCTAAAACATTCAGTTTGATTTCTTTATTGAGCAAAATGTTGCTCAGTAATTTTATTTTGTGAAGGGCGATTGGTAACGAAACTCGACAGGACAACACAGAGCAAAATCTGCTTGGTGGTGATTTAATGGAAGATATCTAAGAGCATATCTGCAACTCAAAACCAGAACAGGAGCTGGCAGAGATGCATTGCAAAATTCTAAGCTCCTATGGACAGATCTAACCTTCAAATATTCTGTACTGCCATAGTCTGCTGTTTGCAGGCTGAATATTGAGCTTTACATTTCCCTCTATTTTATTGACCCTGAAAATAATGCAACATCAACAAACCCTGTTTTCAAACAGTTTACATTTATAATTAGAAATTCCTACTAATTCTTGAAGGGATGCCATTTAAATTTTAATCCCATTAATACAACAATGATTTTGAGACCACGTAACACTCCAGTTTGTAGTGGAGATCAGGAACAAACACATACAGCACCTTGTGTGAGGGGGTCAAGCCTTTTCCCACTGTTCCTCTCAATCAACACAGTGTCTGAAGCATAAAGCATAACTAGGCAGTAAAAAAGGAAAAAAGAAGAAAAAAAAAGAAAAAAAGTGTAGTTCTTGTTAGTTAGTTGCTTTATTTCCTGTAACTGTTTAAATGTGTCCTAATATTAAAGGTGGCTGGATGCCCTCAAAGCAGATTTGCCTCATTCTTATTTCCCAGTATTCTCCTTGCAAATATTTTAATTCACTTTTAATCAGAATTTTGCTTCACCTACTAGGCAATATAGTGGGATAAAATATCCATGAATCCAGTACCCAGGAGCATTAGCTGTGCCTGTCATCCCTACCAATTAACAACTGTCTCTGGAGCCTGGGACAGAAATACCACAAAGCACTTGGGACTGATTCTCTTCTATACCACAAGCCACCACTTTTCACCCAGGTACTTTGTTAGTGAGACCAGTGAAACTTATTTTTTTATAACCTCACAGAAAAGTGTTCAAACTTGATTAGAAGCATCAAAAGATGGAGCATCTGTCAGCTCCCTGGGTTGCTTTTGGCTAATCATCCTCACAGTTAAACACTGTAATTTAATTACTATTTCCAGCGCATTTGATTATTGTTTCAAACAAGTTCTTTTTATGACTTTCTCCTCCGTATCAAATAGCTCTTTCAGGCACTTTTCTCCCTATTAAGGTACTCACACACCGGAAATCTCATCTCCTCTCAATCTTCTTTTTGATTAACTAGACAGACTGAGCTTTAAGATTCTCATTCAGGTCTTGGTGGCACAGATATAATTGTGAGCAAAACTCAACTTCAGATGTTATTAGGTATATTAAAAATACATGCAAGTACTAGACATTAAACATTTTTGCCTAACTCTATTGCAGCGATTCTGAATTCTTCATTAACAGCCAAATATCCTCCAAACCAAATCCAAAGTGACAATTCATCAAGTTGGATAACATTCTGTTCACTGTGCACTGGCAAGCTCTACATTTATCATTTCCCACTGTATTCCACACAATTGTAATGATTTCTTACATTCTAAGTGGGTCCTTTAACTATATTAATTTGGGACAACTGGCAAGGGCAGCTGTCAAGGTCTTGTCTGTCAGCCCTTTGTCCAAATCAAGGCAGAATCAACCCTTACTCTGAAAGGTCAAGCTTAAAATCAGGATGTTTCCACTTCACTTGGTCAAGTTTACATTCTCTAATTCAACAGAAGAGTTAATTTGTATTTTAGTACACAAGGAATTGATTTAATCTGAGGATAAAGGCTGATTTTTAGAGATGGAAGTTGCAAGTGAAGCTACTTGTAGCTGCTCAGAGGCACTGCAGGGTCTTGGATCCACAGAACTCTGATGTGTAAGAAGAAAAGGGTTCCTGTGTGAAAGACAGGGTTTAAAATCTCACAAGTTACCTCAGATTTCCAAGTGGATCTGAATCATTCTGAAATATTCTGCTGTCTGGTGACTCTGGTGTTGAATTTATTGAGGATTTTTGGGGACAAGTGCTTCTAGTCTTTCCTACTGGATGCAATCACACATAAACCTTGTACTGCTTACCAACATGTCTAGGAAAGATGCCAAAGGATTGCAGCATCCATGCCTGTTCCTGATTTTCAGGGAAGCCTTCCAAAATCCATCCCTATTGAACGAAAACATGAAACAGTTATTGATCCTGGAAGAGAAAAAAAACAACAAACCAAATTAATACTAAATATCAGTGCTATTTGCACAAAAATTACCTCATTCTCATCCCACAACAGCACAAGATTTCTTAGGGATGCTTGTGAGAGAAGAAAGCAAACATGGAGCACTGGTATTTTTGTGAAATGCATGCACTGAAACCACTGCCACAGAGCAAGGGGAACTTAGGGGTTGCAGCAGTGATTTTTCCCCACACACACGTTTCAATCTTTAAAAAAAACCCAAACCAACTTCTATCTTGAATAAAAACAGCCCCAAAACAATTTCTACAGTTTTGAAATATTCAAAAGGATACCAGCCCACACTGTGTATATATATAAAAAAAAAGAAGCTAAACAAATCTAAAGACAGATTTAATGCCAAGAACACTGAGGAAAATATGCACGCTTTCATTATTTTCTTAAATTATACAGGAAAACTCACAGTAATGGAACCAGCGCTCCCAGAGCTAATGAAGCAACAGAGCAAAAGAAAGGAAAAAGAAAAAAGAGCCTTTTGCTCCCTTAAGTCCTTGTTATAGCCAGCTAAGTGTTGGATTGAGCATCTTTAAAAAAACATTTACAGATCTGTGAAATACCGTAGGAGAGCTGCAGCCTCGCTCAGTTTTTGTCTGATGCAGTATTTGAAACCTAATCCACTTCCCAGGCTCAAGCCTGAATCTTCTCTGAACTTTCCCTAATTTATCTGTTAGTTGCTTGACCACACATGTCCTTGCTCTATCCCAGACCTCAAACTACCTTTGTGATGCTGCAATAAATCTGGGAGCCATCTTTGCACCGAAATAAAGGAGATATTTTAATGCTGCATTAGCTGGCAATCGTTATCACCCCCACATAAATCTGATGTTCTGTCCAAGGTGTTTCAGGCAAAGACATCTCCACGACTTCTCTAGGAGGGAATGGGCCATTCCAATTACACAGGAAAATAGAGTAGACTATTTAAAATTCCTTAATTAGCCTGGTTTCAGGGACATGTCATCCTGCTGATACCTGTAGAAAATAAGAGACTCGAGCAACTGCAAGGCATTTTTGCCACTCCCAGTGTTTGCTCTGCCGAATTGGAATGAACCACTGGCTAAGGTCACACAGGTGCTGAGAAATCAATTTATCCCCTGGGACTCGCAGGAGGCAAAGCTGCACAATGTTTGTACTGGTGAGCTCAGAACTTCAGCACTAGTTTGGAATATATTGGGTACAAAATAGATATATAGATATATATAGGCCCAGATTTTCTTCTAGGGAGAAATGGCATCTGAGGTCTGAAGCAAATAAATTGATGCCAATTTACACAGACTACAAATGTGGCTTATTTTCTCCAGTCCAAGAGCAACACTTTTGGAGACTAAACCAAAACAAATGAAAAAAACCCACAAAAAACCAAAAAACACCCCACAGAACCTGATGTCACTACTGCTTATTGCTCAAATCACATGATGTGCAACAGGCAGTGAACACAATATTGTATTTTAACAATCCGTAGCAAACTTCTAGAGGTTTATATACAAATTTCAAAGGCAATAAGCAACTTCACAGCTAAAATGTTTTTTTCTGGTTTTGGAAAACATAGCTCAATAAAGAGCTTCCTGCAACAAATACATTTTAGGGCATTCAACAAATGCAAAATAAACACACAGCACAAAAATAGTGAGCATTTTGGAGCTGATTTCCAAAGGTCTCCGAGTTCCAGGGTATCAGTCAGTCCCTAATTAGAATACATTATCCATCTACTTGACACTTCAGTGAAATGTCTATTCCACCACAGAGCTGCAGCTTTGTTCAGAACAGGTTTATTGATATTCTGCTGCATTCCCTCTCCATACCCCCAGTGGCTTGGTTCTGTTTTATCACACATCAAAAAGGCCGTATGCTCAGGGCACCCCATGCACAGCTCAGAGCTGGAGGTCTGAACAGCTGCAAGTAGTGTGGTATCACAGGAGGGACAAGCTCCAAGCAGATGTCACAGATAAAAAAAAAAAAAAAAAAGGGGGGGAAAAAAAAAAAAAAGAGGAAAAAAAAAAGGGAGTGTGGCTTGGGAACGAAGCAGGAGGAAGCGAGACACAGCAGAGCAAGACCTGACTGAAAATATGCCTATCATGCTTTCTGCAAACACTGGTCTTTTCTGCCCTCCTGACTATCATTAAAGTGTAATTAGTAACTTCACATGGTAAATTTGTTTCTTTAAGAAGCCATCTATTTTTTTTGTGCTCGGTAGCAGTCACCTCACAGCCACGCTCGGGTGGCACCTCCTCACACCGAGGGTGGAACAAAGGCTAACAGTGAGTAATTCCACGGTGCCTTTACTCTGTGGCCACTGCTCCCTCTCTTTCAGCTGGAAACCTCCATCTTTTCCCACATAAACAGAGCACTCTGTTCCTGCCTCAAAGCCAGGTGAGGTGATCCTTGGAGATCGAGGCCATGGTGAAAAAATCAGCAACAAGGAAGCACCTTCAAAGCCATCACTCTCCTCTCCAGATTTCGGGAATCTGGAGAAAGGGAAATGCTCAAGGTCACTCCCAAGTGTACATCTCCCTCCTTTGCTGGGAGTGCTCTCAGCTATAATACCAAGCCTACAACTTTCACACTTTCCACCACAACAATAATGACTTGGGTATTCAAGGTCTCTCCTGTTATTTGACCTGTACATCCTCCATAGTTTTTTTAATTACAAAATCCAAAATTGACAGTACCTTTGAATAATGAGAAGGGAGAGCACACAGAAATAATGCTGAATTACGTGGCATGTCTGAAACAAATCTCAGCCACAAGCCTAAAGGTCAAAGGTCACGAACATGGTGCTTTTAGGAAAACAATCACAACAATTTTCCCACATCATTATTCAGTGGTTTTGAGTAAGTACTACATGGTTTTCACTCCCAGCTGGAGAAAGGGGGCAGACAACAACACACAGAAAAAGGACCAGTAATAGCTTTGCCAGTATGGATGTAAAATTCTGGAGATTTTCAGAGATTTTTCAGATTGAGGAGTGCAGTAGGAATATGGTCCCCCCCAGCTCCTGCAGTGTGGACGATGGAAGAAGCTCAAGCCCTACTAAAGTCCCATTAGAAAGAAACTTTGTATCTCCCACATTATTTTTGCTGGTTGAGCAAGATGCAAAGCTATTTTTAAAAGTCCCAGTCTTGTCAGAAAGCAGAAAAGATGGTGAATGGGCAGGTTCTCTCCCCAGATAAATGCGTGTAACATCATGTTCTTTGCATGGAGTTTCACAGACAATGTGATGCTCTTCAGCTACCAAGGTAAAACCAAGAAGAACCAAGAGCCACTGCTCTTCTTTGCCTTCCCTTTCAAGGACAGCCACTGCTCTTCTGAACTGTTTAATACCCCTCCAAAGTCATTCTGCCACTTGTTTTGTGTGAATCACTGGCCTAAGATTAGTTTCTAAAGATCCTAAGACTTCAGGAAGGTGGCTCAGCTCACTCTCAGCTACATCCTGTAGCAATCTTTTCACTGGCTCTCTGCAGTTCCACGAATTCCCTCCACAATCCCAGCAGTCAGAGGGGCTGCAGCCAACCTGTACAACCCTGGAAGAAGGAAAGTCTCCATATCAGCTTCACAAGTCCCATAATGTTTGCAATAAGTTTCCTGTGTGTGTGCTGGGAGACCTCCCCATCTGATCCCTCACGGTCCTGACCACGTTTGTGTTCGAAGAGCACGTAACACAGAGTCTCAGCAGGGCTGTTGATCAGCAGGAATGCTCTCCTCAGAGAATGCCTGTGACATCCATAAACCTGGGAGTGTCAAAACAACGGCACAGAAAATTCCGTGTTCCTACTGTCAGTGGGATGAAAGCCGTGCAATTAATGCCAGGCCAATGACACCACAAGGAGAAATAAAACAAACAGCTGGTGGTAGTGTGGTCCAACATACTGCTCCTAATCTATTAACATTCTCAGTAAAAAAACATGCTGACTCATCTTTTGAAAGAAATGGCACAAATCTGTTCAAATGATGTAAAAAATCCACAGCATTAATTCTGGTTTGAATCACACAAGGCAAATATTGCAATTAAAATGCATAGATCCTCTTTTGAATGAGAAAGACATACACAGAGTGACCACAAATTACTATCTGTTAATGTAAAGATTTTTCATAACCATCACACATTTGGAAAACCAATTATGTGGTTTTCCTAAAAACAGCTGAAACCTTCAGCCATCCTATTCTTGCTGAAAGTCAGGGAAGCTTTATAAAGGTTTTTTTTCCCCTTAGTTGGGTAAGACATCCAGCTCTGATTCAGTGCTGCTGGTGATAACAACAGGAACATAAAATGTAGGCAGGACTCTTTGCAGCTGTTGGCATTTTCACCAGATTGTCACCTCACTCAGAGTTTTACATGACCTAATACTTTAACTTCACTGGGAGATCCTGCCCTCACTATTGACAGGAGAAGTAGAGCCATGCCAACAATTATGGAAAGCATAGAGCAATAAAGCATGGGGTGGATGCAGCAATGGATTTTGATTATACATTAATAGTAAAACTCATCTTAACAGTGTCATAACCAGCACTGGAAAAATTAGCTGCTGAAAACATACTTTTTAAAATCAGGTAAAGAAACTTATGGGGAAAATAACTTGGAGAGGTTTTAGGGATGTTATAAAAGCCCTAAACTGAAGAGTTATTCACCTGCTTGCTAGTTCACAACACCCCCTGCCATCCAACAGCTCTCCTCCAGAGAGTATTAGGGGACAGACTGCCCCAGCAACTCCTACCTGTGAGAGAGCATGTGAGAAAATACTTAACCAAACTGTTGAAAACACCAGGGAACCCTCCCTGCCCTACCTGCTCACTGCCACAAGCACAACCAGAGGAGCTGTTTGTGTTCACCTGAGGGGTCTGACACCACCCAAAGCCTGGCAGTCAGGAAAGCAGTTCCTCTCTTGGTTTATCATCTTTTCAACTTGCTCTCATTTCTGCAGCTTTAGAGATATTTTAAACATCCTCACTCGAGGAGAGGTTTCACCCGAGATCGATGTTCCACATCTTGCCCCAAGGACAAGGTAGTAAATCACACAGTCACCTGACTTGCTGTATATCCATGATATCTCATTGCACTGCCTGCATAAAAAATGTTGACATTCATAGTCATTTTTTTCCTGCTCATTTGCTGGTATATCCAGAGTTGACAATATTGGTTTCTACAGCTACACTCTTTAATCCAAAATACCACAAAAATGAACAAGACAGTACACCACATGTGTGTTTTTAAACAGGCTCTCCTGCCAGCTGAAGGGCCTGTGTGAATTTATTGCAGAGAAACAAATATATCAAGTAGTACCATACATTTGATCTGGAGTGCTAAGCAACTATAACAAGTCAAAATAAAACAAAACAGCTCAGCTAAAACGACCTTCAAGAGAAACCAGACTGACCCATATAATTCAAGCACAGTGCCTAGAAATGCATGAGGTCAGGAAGTTCTACCTGGCCCCTGACCCAAAGGGGTGGCTGTGACAGTGACTGCTCTGAAACCATCAACTATTGATGAGAAAAAAGCTGTTTAGTCCTTCATGAACACAACACCTACTTTGGACTGGACTTTTTCCTCTTTAGAAGTGAATCAAATAATGTGCCATCCTTATTTTGGCATGTTTACAAACAGTGTTTTATCCATGAGATTGGTATATCTCTTACAAATAATCCTTTATAATGGGCTGACTGTGAACTCCACAAACCATAACAACATTGGAGATTTTAAAGAAAACACATAAAAATGATTTTGATCTCCTTGAGTCCAGACATTAAATTCAACCAGGATCAATCTACTAAAGTTCTCTGGGTTAAAAGTCTCTACTTACATCAAGGCTAAGCAGGAAGGGGAAAAAAAAGAAGCCACACATCTGAATACAGCTAAACCTATTCAGTTGCCTATTTGTATAAGCTAAGAGTGAACATATTAGTTAATACCTCGAATATATTCAAATACACTTTTCCCTAACACAGGAAAAAAAAAGAAGACACAATGAAAAACAAATAAAATTGAAATGAGTAACTTTAGACTCTCCTCCCCCCCCTTTCCTCAGTAACACTTAAAACCTTAACATATTGATTTTTTGTATATTTTCTGTTTATCTGTTTTGTCCACTCTATCTCTGCCAGTTGCCCCAGGCAATCAACAAAGCTCTGCTTGTTCAGCCTTTGATCATCTCCGTGCTGGAAGATTAGCATATGCATACTCTCATCCTCCCCTTTATCCTGTTAATAAAGCTCCAAACTCCCTCCGCTGATGTTCAAGAAAGCAACCGGCTCCAGAGCCCCCGATGATTTGCCCCCATTCCCTGCTCTGCTCAGGACTAGGAATGCTAACTACTGCACGAGTTGTGTAAGTGCTTATCCCCCCGGCCCTCTGAGGAGCAATTCTTACTTGTTTGATGCAGTCCACGTTTGACAGACGTTCCTGGATCAGATTGGCCCAGAGCGCGTTGGGAATTTTCTAAAGAAAGAACAAAAAAAAAAAAAGGCTGAATATTCACAACTGAGTTCAAAAGGAATTTTACCATGCAGGCACATTCTGGTTAAAGGTGAAGTGAGATGTCTTCTTAAAAATAAAGAAATAAATAATTCAGTGTTAAGTCCCAGGTCATTAACATGAGTTAATGACAAAGAGTTAATAAGGGCACAAAAATCAATGTTAAAGGCAAGCTGAACACAGAGCGTGAACATCCATGGGGTTTGTTGCACACCAACACGGAGGCAGTGCCAAGTTTTACACACTAACACACAAATGAGCATCAGACCTGCAAAATCCATAGGAAAATCACATCCATAAGTTGTCCTTTTTACCACAAGTGTCTGATCCACGACTGTGTCAGTGGGCTCAGCATCAGGGATCTCGCCAGCCATCAGTGAGACAAACAGGATCTCAGACACTGAGTGAACAACACAAAGAGTCTGATCTCCAGGTTTGGTTCATGGTTTCAAGTAACTCTCTGTCATCACCCAGAAAGATTATTTATAATGTATTTTATAGTTAAAGAGAGATTATTTTTAAGCTCAGGACTGGGTGGAATGGGGTGGAAAGTGCATTTGCCAATATTCTCAGAAGTGCTGTTGAGTTCTGTGATTCCTACTTTGTCCATATCTAGAGATGTTTTGTAAGGCAGCATTTTCTATGAGACAGAAGAACAAAGTTCCTCTACAGATTTAACACCTTCCCAACACTTTTTTTTTTCCCCCTAACCAAAGTCTGAAGGGTATAAACCCAAAAAGGAGCATTTCTGTAGGCTTGTGTTAAACTAACAGAGGTAGAGAAATATAATGACAACGTGGTTGACTATGAGGAAAGATTTAATAAAACCTTTATTGTATCATGAAACAATGCCACCAGGAGTGGTGGAACTGCTACCACACAAGCCACTTTAAAGGAGGATGGAGAAAACACTCCAGAACACACAAAAGAGGCCAGTGTGGCACAGACAAAGTGGCCCAGCCAGGCAGAGGGGTTTGCTCGGTTTGTTTATCTCTGCTGTCCCCAGCTCTCAGCGCCTCCTCCTCACATCAGCCATTCATAAGGCAACTTTCGAGCAGGTAAAAGAGAAAAAGGGAAGGAAATCGCTGTGTTTCTTGGAAGTCAGCAGGTCCCTGAGGGTGGTGTGTCAGAGCCTCCTGCAGCCCCTCCCTGCTGGAGCTGGGCCCGCGCCTTTGAGCCTGTCACCTTCCAAAGGGGCCCCACGCTGCTCCCAGGAACAGCCAGTGTCTTCCTCACTTCTTTCATCTGTCATGTCAAGGCAGGCTGCAGACTGCTGGGGGTCCTCTCTGCTAAGCCTTGCCAAACCAATTTAAGCCTTCTCTGAGTGCAGTGGTGTGTTCTGAGTCCCCTCTTTGGCGCGGGGTTCACTGCACAGACACGATCAAGGACAAGCGTTCAGGTGTTTCGGTGCTTCAGCTCCTTCTGCTCTCCGTGGCTCAATTCCAGTCTCATTTCCTGGGCAGTTTTGCTCCTACTGAGCAGTGGCCTACAAAATCATTTCCAAGGGGTTGCTTGCAGAATGCCTAATTATTCAACTAGAAATAGTTATCTTTGATAGATATGATGGTCCATTTAGAATTTCTCTCTCATAAACACATAAATACATTGTGAGCTCGGTGGATGGGACTGCACCTCCCAGAAATCTGCAATAAGGGACAATGGCACACATTTGATAACAGCCAAACCACACCTCACCTACAGCACTCAGAGCTGCCCCAACATTCAGCTCAGGTAAAGGAAACATCTGCTGCTGTGGGATTTTGTTTGTGTTCAGACCACTTTTCTATACACACTGGTTTAATCACTGTTTCCATACTGCTGAAAAACTGTACTCACTCATGATTAATTTTAAATATCCCATATTATTTAAGAGACATCATACTTCAACTTCCATGCCTGATCTACCCAGACTTACATCTCAATGGTCTTTTCATAAAACTCTCATCATTTTTTTTTGGTAGGGGAGCACTTTCACTGGACATCTTTCTTGAAAGCTTTGGATATATTTGCTCTGAAAACACGACAGCTAAAAACTTCTGCCTTCTCCAAGTTAGCACCTTGGAGAGCACAGCAATCAGGTTTCAAGAAATTTGGTTTAGTATTCTCTGAATCATGAATGGTTAGATTTAATTTGTTCAGATAATACACATGAAAGGCTGGGCTTTAATGGATACACAAAACTGGAACAGTTTTGTTCCTTCAGAGTAGTGTACCCTGGAATAGATTGGAATGCTGACCATGAATAGATAAGGATGCCTTGGGTTTTTCTCTTTTAAAAAGCACAGGGACATGATGCAACTCTAGGGCAGTTTTAAGTTATTAGGGAGAATGCAAACACCTCAACTGCAATTTAGTGTGGCATTAAAAGCACACCCATCCCCCAAGCCCACAATTACCTCAGTTGTTTCAACTTCTTATTTTATCCAGTTAACAGGAAAAGTGAAACATGAAATAGCTCATCATTAGACTTCACTATAGGAAAACCTGAAGATGCTTCCTATTAACATTATAATAACTAGAGATGAGGGAGTAATTTGCAATGTTTTATCCAAAAATGTAGCCTCTTTTTCTGCTCATAGAATATTTATTGATAGCCCATGGTTCTTCAATTTCCTGAATATTCCAAAAATATTTGACTTCTTTTTGGACTATTTTTACACGCAGAATGATCCCATTTTACTTTGAACAATCAACATTTAAAATTCACTACCTGAGCTGCGCTCATTAGGAAATGGCCAGGTGTGTGGGGGTGAATGACTGCATGTCCAACTCGAAAAATTGAGCTTGAGAGGATAATCACCTATTTTAAATATGCTCTTCCATGAATCCTCGTGCCAGGAAAACCCAAATGCTTCAATGCTCGCTGTGAGTCAATGCAGAAGAGATGAAAGCTTTGGTTGAAGGTAAGTGAGTAAAATAATGTGAACAAACATTTGCAGAGCTTTTTGCAGCATTTGCCCAGATCTGGTAACATTGACCTGCTGACCTAGAACTGCCTGACCTTTGGCCCTGGGGTTAATTCAGCCCCAGTAAGTTTATACGTGGAAATGACATTAAATTGGGTTATATGATCTTCCCACCAGACTTCCAAAAAACACAGCCTTAGTTCCTGCTTTTCCTCTTCTCCATTTATTAAATTGCTTTGGCCAGGACTCCCAACTTTTCAATGCCCTGGTTGCATCAAAGGTAGTGTAAACAGCTATTGTTCTGTTCCTGAAAAGAGATCCAAACCTATTAGTGCTAATGGATGCTCCGTGGGCTGGAGGAGTCATTTACCACTTGCTGCAGCAGAACCAGGGCTCAGTTACAGCAACAGGAGATTCAGGCAGCAGCCAAGAATCAGGAAGGGAAATATACAGCTCTTGAGACGAAAATTTGGCCACATTTTAAGTCACTGTAAAGCTTGCATTGATTCAGAGGAAGCAAGGAGTTCCCTCTTAGTTCTAGGAGTTATGTTTGAAGAAATAAACTCATATAAAAGAACAAAATTACTTAGCCAAAAGGTTCTTCTAGACTCTAAATCTCAAAACCAAAGGCAGTCAGCACAGTGCTGAACCACCACCAGACTCTTTGGGCCCTCCTCATTACCTGATTAGCCTTGACATTTTTGACTTTCATCTTCCACACCATCCATCTTTTTAAATCAAATAAGCCCAAAAGGACACCCTTGAAAGTGCATCTGTATAGTCTGAAATATGTTAATAATTACAGTAATTAAACCAAAGGGAATTTTTGTTTTAAATTCTCCCCCTCCAAGTATAAATTTATGAACCTATCAAAACAATCTTTAATAATTAGCAAGAAGATTTCAAAGTACATCTTCTCGATAAGAATAATTCTGTATCATCCCAGCCAAATGCAAACCCTTTTGCCAGTGAGTTCAGTGAACTCTCTCCTCTCAGATCTTGAAGTGTATTACTTGAGCCATCTCCAAACTTCATTCACTAATTCAGTGGGATAAGATCACCCTATTTCCAGCCTAATTTTCTAAGGAAAAAACCCTAATCTGTGTATCACACTGTCTGCCATCTCAGTGAATTATGAATCTGTTGGCCAATTCCAATCTTAAATTGAATTTAGCAGGGGTGTAGAATTCTCACAGATATGAAATTGCTTCAAATTTTATGAAAATAGGTGATGAGGGAGAAAAGATACATTCAAACTAGTGGACTTGCTAGAATGAGTCCCCAAAAACCAGACTGCTTCCATTTTATTTCTCATGGAACATTTTGACATCTGGAGAAAGAAATCAGCTAAAAGGGCAGGAATCAGTAGCAGAGATGTTTCTCTGTATTCAACATATTTTCCCATCTACTTGTCACTAATTTTGAATCAGGACATCTGAAAAAAAAAAAATGTTCTTTGGACCAACTGCTTTGAACATCAATTAGGAGGCCCACAATGAAGCATGAAAGGATTTAAAAAACCTGTCTGGAGCAGACACAGTACCTGGAGCTGGGGAGAACTGAACAATCTGAGGAGCTGCTCTTGCCTCAGTTTGAGAGCTGCAAGGGCTGTCAGTCACTGCCTGGATTGTCACACTCCTTTGGAGTTAATGCACCAAGTAAGTTATTTGTGTCATGCTACAGAGAAATCAAGCATGCACAACTAAGTAGCACTGTCAGATCAAAAAAAGTTCTTTGTGTACACGTTTTCCCAAGCATTTTGTACCAAAGGAGACCTGAGAGATTAATGCTCATTTTTAGTGAGATTACCAAACATGCTCAGATAGAAGGCTCGAACCATCCTGTAAATTGTACTGTGCACTCCTGGACTCCTCCCACTTCTGTTGCTCATTTCAGGGTTAATTTTTCAAGCTCTTCATTACTTGACATTGTCTTCCTCTCCTTCTATGCCCTGACACACTTCTCTTTGTTCATCTCTTACCCAGCAGAGCTCACCCTTCTCTGAAAGATGTACCTTACACATACACAAATGTACAAACCACCACAGCCAGAAGAGTATTTACTCTCATCTGCTCAACTCATAGCAGTGGATAATCACTGGAATGCCACCTAATTCCTGTTCTGTGACATGAGAACAGCTGTTCCTGTATTCCTGTACACACCTGATTTTTTTCTTTATATGCCTTTGCTTCCTCTGTCAGCGCTAATGTTTCCTTGAATAACAAAGTCTCCTGAGAGACACGGATGGCATCAAAATGTTTACTGAGCCACATTGCCTGAGGGAAGAAGAAGAAAAAAAAATACAGGTTGAAGTATTTGGAAAGAAAATGAAGCTTTTTTTTTTTCTTTTTTTTCAGAAGGCTGCAGAAAGACAGAGCTTTCCCAGCCATACATTTAAGGGTACAGACTTTATGTGTAAGTTTAAGTGGTTTCTTATGAAGACGTTCCAGAGTCTACAGCTCTGAATGAGGGCTTTTTCATCTCCTGTCCCATAACACAGAATTTAAAGGAAGAAGTATTCTCCCTAGTATCACACACCACCATCACCTGCAGTTTCTGTGGTTCAAATACAACTCTGACATTTGCAATTAAGTGGTGCCAGTGGACACGAGACGACTGACCATGCAAATGGAGAAACCCACAACAAGGGAACGCTCCAAATGTGTCATTACAGTGCTTCTCACAGGTTAATCAGTCCTGCTAAAACAAGGCAGGCAGAATTCTGCTGCCTTCCAGAGCTCACTTTAAAATTTCCATTTAACCTGTAGTGCAATGTACAGGTGTCTCCCCCAGGAATGCCACCCTTCAATTTGCCTTGTGCTCTTCTATCACTTAGATAAATCTGAAAATTATTTTTCCAGAATAAAGTTTACACAAATGCTGGGCTCATTACAAGGTAAAGAGTGAGCAGTGTTACAACACTGAATTAGGCTACTTACAACTGTAGTTTTCCCAGAAGCAGGTGGACCAAGTACACAAATTTTTGGAGCTGTGAAACAAGGATATGTGAATGTCAAGATGCAGAACAGCAAAGATCCCGACCAGTTTCTCACTGTTGCATTGCATAATATCGGTGCAGTCACAATGAAACAATTATTTCAGTTGGAAAGCTGCCTCAAATGGAGGCTTCAGGATTGGGCTCCACTGGGGAAAAAAAGAGGGGAACAGTAAGACAGTGCCAGCTGGGTCCTGCTTTAATCTCCATGGTCAATGAGATTAACACTCTGACTAACTCTGCCATTTGAAGAGATAGATGAGGTCTATATATCTCAATCCATCCAAACACACTGATAGTTTAGTGGCTGAACCAGAGCATAAGACACAAACATCTCCTTACCCAAGTTTGACTCTTATTCCCAAAACATTTACTTAGAACTAACATATTTTGTGATGAAAAATTATTTCCCTTTTTAGTTTCACCTAAATAGGTTGTGTCAGGGTTCAGAGGAGATTTAGACACTGCAAAATGAAGCACTCTCTCGCTACGCTTTTTGACAGCTACCTTCACCTTTCCAAGTCATCATTAAAAAGCAATTTTCCTCATTTTCTGCTTCTTGTGTTTCTCTATTGCAAATCCCTCTCCTTTCTCTGAGGGGGAAAGGTGCAAAAAAGGCATCCCAGTTCTGAAGAATCCTTAATCCAATGCATACAGACAACACAATAGGCATTACCTTCATAAGCTTTGTCAGGAATGAATCAGAGGCAAGAGAAGAGAAAATGGAGTAATTCCTAGGAAAGCATCTAGAACTTTTTCCAGAAATACACCTTGGGCTGCGACTCCTTGAGCTGTTGTTTTATATTAACAGCTTTGATGTTTCCCCCTCCACCAAACCACAGAGGGGAAAAAAACCCAAACCAAACCAAACCAGATTATTTACAGGAGTGACTGGTTAGTATTTACTGGGAGTAAGGCAGGTCAAAGCAGAGGAGGGAGCTACTCACCCAAAAAACCTCTTCAGCTCTCCATAACCAGGGGAGATGGTGTCTGATGGTTACAGACAGGCAAGGATGTGAAATGTATTTTTATGAGGCCTTCCAGGTACTTAACAGTTATTGGGCAGGTGCAATTTTTAAACATACATGAAACCCAAATTACGGATTCATCTTTACAAAGTTATCTGACTTGGAAGGTTTAAGAACAACTCCCCCCTTATTGGTTCTTGCAAATGCAACAGAACTAGTACACAATGTAGAAAAATACTTTAAAAGGATACATCAGCTGTTTTTATCACCTAATTTCTTTCAAATGTAATGTGATTAAATCCTAGGGTTTTTTTAAATCTAACACCTTGAAACTCCAGCCCGGTACTTAGGAATTATTTATAAACAGCGTCATAAAAGAGTGCTCGGGTGCCAACACTAATCAACTTCTTCAAACCACTTCAAAGGAAATCAAAAAACCTTTCCATCCACAGATCCTTTTGAGGTTTAACTAGGAGCATGATTTAAAATTCACAAGAAAGCCCTTAGGTATTGAAGCTTTAATACACAGCTTTCTTGGACAAACGTTTGATAAAAAACGAAACATACCATTATATACACCATCTCATGCTTTAATATTGCCCAGGGCTACTGTAAATGCTCACTTTGTACTAAATCTGGTTTTCTCTCTGCTTAGTGGCTGGCAGCAGATGGGGCAGTGTAATTCACTTGATTTACTCATTTGCACACTTGTAAGACTCCTCCAAAGCTTTCTCCCCAAACATATGACACGAGGGCACAACCAGGACGCCCCTGGATGTCACGTTTAACCCCCTCCAATCAACAAATAGTCAGGGTTTAATAGCAGAGATCTGAAGCAGCAGCCAAATGAAGCCGGGAAATTCCAGAAAATGCTTTTTTCTTCAGTAACAAATCATATTTAATTCTGTGTTTAGTCCTGATGAGATGTTACAGGATTTACTCTTCCAAGTAAAGTAACTTTTAACATTCTACAGCGGTTTTATCAACAACAAAATTAATCCTGGAATGATGCAAAATAACAGCTGGACTCAGTGGCTTCCATTTAAATCCAAAAGATTTTATTATTAATATTAATGCAACAAAATTTGTTCAACCTGTAAGGGAAGTCCTTTGTCAAATGGTCCATCCTGAACATTCTTGCAGAACTTTTGAACATTCCTTCAGAAGTTTGGGTGTAAAGGAAGAACTCACAGAAATGCCTCTTGGATCCTGAAAGCTCTTTTTCATTAGCACAAACCAAGATACCTGCAGAAAACCTCCATCTCTGAATGTGAAAGAATTATCAGCCTTTTTGGGGCCCTTTAAGGTTTTTAGAAGGAACACATAAAAGAACAGTGGGACAGAGCCCTGAGCACATTTGACCTATGAGGTTTTCCAGGCAGATGTAAGCCATAATCATCATTAGACTTGTTTATATTTTTAAAAGTGCTTTAGATCCTATTATTAATTAAAAAGGTTTTCTAACTTCACACCTGGGATAGATGCAATGCCTCTTTTCCACATATCTCTGTTTGAAATTTTCTCTAGGGCTAAAACTGTCTGGCAAGGCAAGATCATGAAAATTCATCACTCTCCTGATGGCTCTAATAAGGTTTTTTTTTTACCTTCTAAATAGTCAGCACCTTCCAACCATGATCAAAAAGTAAAAGCAACTCTGGTACACATTTCCATTACATTATTTTCCATACAATTTATTCTTAAAACAACATTTAGGCTTTAATTTTAATCGGAGTTCCTCTCCTTCCTTAGAAGGTTTTGCCAGCCCAAGAGCAGACAGCATTTTCCCTTTGACAAACAGCTGCTGTAGATCTACCTTTAGCCTCTAAGTCCTGAAGCCATGAAATGGGAACCTGCCTAATTCTGGTTGAATAATACTGAGGGGCTTAGGGACAAATGTAAGCTCAGTGTGGAGAAATTTCATCAGCATCCTCTCAAACTGCATGGAATTCTTCCACAGATCTCTAGACCAGATTGATTCCTCACGCTGCTGCATCAGAAAAGGCTGGGAACAACTGGCAGGGTTTGTTTGGTTGGTTTTTTTTAAACATATTTAGCAGCATTTCAATCAACACCCACCTGATCAGCACCACCAAGGGCTCACAGCACCTCCAGCGATCACGACTGCCTTGATGCTGCAGCAGAACTTTCATAATGGTTTAACTCTGGTTTTAAAGAAACATCAAAGCCCCACGACACCAGCGCTCCCTGACAGCTCACGCAGCACAAAAATCAGAGTGCACTTGTGCACATCCAAATATAATCTGCCTAAGGGTGAACAGTTTGTAAATCAAATCATTTGATTGAGGGTACAAGCTTTTTAGTGTGCAGAATACAGGCTTCCCATTCACTTCAGCAGGTTTTGTTAACACACAGGAGCAGACACGCTCACTGTTCCTTCAGCTGAGATGGCATCGAGCACTGGAACTCATTAACAGCAGCCAGTAACGAACTAATCAAAACACAGAGAATCTGCCAGCCCAGGTAGAATAGGAAACCAAATTTACACCTGACAAAAGGAGTAATTAGCGAGCTTAAAGACAACAGGAAATATCAGATGGGGCACAGAAGGCATTAATAATTGATACACCAGAACTCTTTGTTATTCCCTTAGAGGGTTTCATTGTTATAACTGTTAAAGTGCATTTTTTATTAGATTACCCACTAAAAAAAAAAGGAAGAAAACTGAAAGCATCTTGCCTATAAGTATTCCAAAATGCTCACCAGTTCTGTTTGTTCCCCCCCTCCTCAGTCTGAAAAGTTTTGTCTGTCATCTGCCAACTGCAGCAGTTTCCAGCAGCTGTTTACAAATAAGGGATTGAACTCTTCATGGTGTCTCCATTTTCACTCACCATCATCGTTGTTCTGCTTTAAATGGTTTATCATGAACTCAATGGGATCATCTGGCTTATGAATTAATAGCTCTTCAAGCATGTTCTGCAAATAAACAGGACAAAGTCAGAGGAGAATTTAACAGCTCTGCAGTGATGGTATCCTGCATTTTTACAGCATTGTTACAATGAGGATTTTAAACAGCTTATAAATGCTTATTTATTTTCTTTCACAGGCGAAGTTGAGACTCCAGAGCCTGTTTCAGATGCTGAAAAAACAAAGATGGTCAGAAAATTGCCAGTAAAAACAAAATCCCAACCTGTTTGCTATGGTTTATTTGTGGTACATTCAGAAGGTTTGGCTCGAGCAGTTCGGGGTCGGCAGCGGCTGAGTCAGAGCTGACACAAAAACCACACAAGGAGTGGCAACTTTCCACTGGTTTCAGGGAGGATTGTGGCTTTCCAGGCAGGGAAAGGACTAACCCTGAGGAACACCAACCCCACTAAGACATTTCAGCACAGCCCACGAGCTCTGTAATTAAAGCTAAACATCACACAGAACTAACGTTCTGACTCAGATAAGCTGCAGAAATGTTAACAGACATCCAGTTCTAAAAAGCAGCCATAACACTTTAATATTTGGAAGTAAATCCCATAGAGTCTGTATATTCCATAAAATTTTATATCCTCACCAATTGATTGTCTTTTATTGGAGTGGCCTATTTTCCTTTTCTACTTCATTGGAATAATTAAACCACTCAATTTTTTTTTTTTTTATAAACTGTTTCACTTGCAAGTTCTGATGCTTCAAGGTCTGGGTAGCAAAGAGCCTAAACCATAAAATTTATATTTTTATTGGAAGTTCATTTAAAATTATTACTTCCCAGCAACACTCATTTAAACTTATAAATCTGGATTTGGCACTGCACTTACCAGCAGCTTTAAAAATAACAAACCTGAGCAAATCTGGGCTTATTGCCATTCAAAAGAGTTCAGGCTGACAGTGATTGACACTGCCACTGTTTCTCGCCCAAATCCCACCTTCAAACCCTTCATTTGATTCAGTTCTGCTAAAAATCAGTTTAATTTCACGTGAGTAGGTCTGTGAATCTCTTGGGGGAGGTTCATGATTTGGGTCCCCCGTTGTAGCTTTCACATTTCGTGTTTTGTAAATGTTTAAAGCTCGGGACAAACATTTCGAGCTGTGTTTGTTTGTGTCACTAAGTTGCCACAACACAACTGAAGTACCACAAGAAAACGAGAGTCTGAGTAAGTCCCATAAACATTTTATGCACAGTGAGGTCCTGGAACTGCAAAACACAGTATTTCCATTAAAAAAAAAACAAACCAAAAATATTATGCTACACTGGCCATACTAAATAGCTTTAGTTACATGAAAAAAAATAATACTAGATTAAAAAAAAAAAAAAAAGATGAGGCAAGAAAAATAAACATTTGTGCGTATTTTAGTGAGATCTGAAGAAGTAAAAAGGACTTTCTAACAGAATTATGGGTTGTCCTTCACACAAACCCCACGCACGACACGAGGGCTTCTCCCAAACTTACAGAACAAAACACGCCTTTCCCTAAGGCAGGGAAAGCAAATTTGCTATTTCCTGAAATCCCAGCGGCGCTGGAAGTGCCCTCCTGTTCCTTTCTCTGCGACACGCGTGTCACCGAGCAGCCACGGCAGGAGAGGGTTTCAAAGAGGTGGTGACTCTGACAAAGGCAAAACCCTCACCGCGGTTCTCCCTGCACTTAATTAGTTATCAATTTGTTACTGTCTCCCCCTCCTCCTTTCACACACTCCTTTTTTTCCCATCGGCTGCCACTTTTTTTCCTCCCCAAACCCGCCAGCTACGAAGGGCAGCAACTGTTAATTAGCATAATTAACTAAGAGAGCGCTCGGCCCTTTCCCACACAGGGGGACACCCTCCCGTCGAGCTCCCACAGCAGGCGGCACTCGGCGCTCCCCCTGGGCCGTCCCCTCTCACCTGCAGGAGCTGGAAGAGCCCCCGCTCCTCCGCGTAGGTGCCCACGGGCGGCGGCCACAGCTGGGCCGGCTCCTCCATGGCCGCCTCCGCCATGGCCGCCCCTGGCAACGCGACGCGTTGCTAAGGGTGACGTCACCGCCGCGCCGCCTGGTGAACGCCACGAGGGAAAGGGAGCGAGGAGACGTCATCGAGCGGCGCCCGTTGCCAGGGAGACGGCGTCGCGGTTGCCGTGGCAACGGCGGGCGGAGGCCCCGCGGTCACCGCTGTCACCCCGGCCAGTCCCCCCATCCCGGCCCCTCCCGGGGAGCTGCCGCGCCGCCCCCGCCCGCACACCGGCCGGTAGGAGCCGCAGGGCTCGCTGGGCGCCCGCGGAGCGCAGGGGAACGGGCTGCGGGGCGTCCGGCGGGCGGGGCTGCGGGAGAGACCCCCCCCCAGCGGAGCTGCGGATCCTTCCCCAGGGTCACAGGCGGGAGGGGTAGGTTAATCCCGGCCCCGGGATTAATGGGGGGGAGGGCGGGGGGGGTTGGAGCCGCTCGGGCGGTGGGTTCAGGGCGGTGAGAGGAGCCCCGGCTCCCCCCGGCCCCGCGGGGATGAATCGCATCTTTACAACAGAGCCACTGGGGTTTATGGCAGCCCATTGTCAGCGCTCCCCTCTGGGCTCTCCGCCTCTCTCTGCAGCATCATTACTCACTGGCTCACTGCCTGCAGGGCTCTGGGGCCGCGCAGCTTTCACACAATGTATCTTCTCTTTTTGCTTTTTTTTAAATCCCCCCCCCCCGAAGTTTTTCCCCCAACCTACACAATTCCGGCTCAGGTGAGGGAATTACATCCTTAGAATCACATCGTTTCTAAAAGGCAGCTTCCTTTCTCTCCTTCTCTCCCCCCAATCCAGAAATAAGTAAACATGAATGAGGTAGTGGAGACTCTAAGAAACATAGAGCAGAACTACAAGATCTTCCAGCAGCAGCAGTTTACATTTACCAAAGCACTGGATCACACCCGAGAGGAGGCCCATGACTTGATCAGACCTGTGGCCACCATCGTGCAGGTACAAAGTATCCAGCACAAAAATACCCTGCCCAGGAGAACAGGGACAACACGGGGTGAGGTCAGGGAGGAATAAATGTTTTTTTACCAGGGGAAAATGGACAAAAACTCCCTGGTAATGGTTGTTATAACTCTGCAAACCCGTGGCAAAATTTGGGGAGAGAAATACCTGTGTGAGGGTTTATTAACACAGAAGGAATCTTATTCCTGAGCATTTCTGATTGGTTTAACACTAAATTTAACTGGTTTAACGCTGTCATTTTGCTGCTGAGGCACAGCCAGAAATACAGGGCACAAGAAAACAATCAAACCAACCCTCCTTCCCCAGCCACTCGTGGAATCTGTAATCCTCAACTTGGAGGAACCAGCAGGCTTGGCTCTTCCCCCTGGTATTGGTGCTGCTGTATCTTTCTATAGTGCTTATTAAAAATAATGGCTGTGCTACAGAGGGAGGATGATGGATTGAGGGCTGAGAGTCCCAAGTGGGCACGGGGTTTTCTGGGCTGGTAAGTGAATTGTCTTGGAATTTTTATAACATGGGATGTTTTAAGTAGAGCTTAGACCACCTGGAGACAGAGGAGGAGGAGGAGGAGGGTGGGGGAAGAAAAAAAAATCTGAATAAAATCAGAATTGTGGATTTGAGGCAGCAGAACCCAGGCACAAAACCCAGGTGGATGCCACAGGCAGAGTGAAGGCCAGGCTGTTATTAGGATTAGGGCACAGAAGGAGCTGGTTGTGTTTTCTGAGGGCTGACTCTCTCATATAAGGGCTTTGCTCATTGCATTGAAAGGGATTGGGGCAGACATTGCACTGAGCCATTTTTTCCCCCAAAAAATAGGCACTGAGATGTGTAACATTATAAAAGTGCCAATCAATATTCCAGTGGCACTGAGCAAGCCTGGACTCCACTTCTTGGCAGAGGTGCCTGTGGTGGGGGGTGAAACCTCTGGGTGTGACCTCAGAATTGCAGGGATCCACAGCGTCCTCTGTGACACAGCAAGGCGGGAACTGCAGCCCTGGGGGTCCAGCCACCTCATCCCAGGGGGAGGATGGGAAAGGGAAGAGGGCAAACTGCCAGGAAGAACAGGGAGCAGTTGGTGCAGCATGTATTTGAGCAGGAGCTGAACTGCTACCAAAAAACTCCCCTGGTGGCAAAAGCAGGCTCCCATTTTACCCAGCGCCATTCTCCCTGGTTTTAATTTGTCATGGGAGGGCACAAGAATAAGAGCAACAAACGCAGAAATACGTGTGGTCTCAGCCTACAGCTGACTTGGAAACTACAGAAAAAATGAGATTCCACTTGAACATGGCTAAATTTCCACCCCCTCAAGCTTTTTGTGGCAGCGTTTTTAGTGTGATGAGATTCCTTAGAGAAAAGAGGAGATCACAGGAAGGGGGAAAGGTGGAAGGGCACACCACAGTCACACAAATAGCAACAGCTTCTTGAAGATTTCTGCATGGAGTAGGGCACAAAGTCAAACCCCAAGTGGTTTTGTGGGACCAGATCCTCAGTCATTGCTTCAGCCAGAGCCTCAAACCCCTCAGGGAGTCCCTGCCTGCAGAGCTTGGCTGTGGTCAGGACCTTGCAAGTGGTTGCTGTAGTGCTGTCCCTGTCCTGTGCATTAACTCCCTGTTGCTGATGTGGCCAACAACAATTTCTCTTATCCCATCTGTGAACATCCAGGCTAAAATGATACTCTCATTAGGACTATTTCTGCTCACAGCAGCAGTAAAAGATCCTGCCACTCACAAGAACACAACACTCAGTAAACAATGTGGGAGGGGGAATCTGTAGTGGAAATGGAACCCTCAGGAGCCATTTTTTATTTTCCTTACAAACCTGCTGAGAATTTGGCCAAGCACAATCCATGGCTTTTCTGCATGCAGCGACTGTACCCATGTTGGAACAGCTATTCCCTTCTTGTAACCTTACAGAAAGCACTGGAGGTGCTGGAGTCCAGCTCTGGCTGCCAACCAGCCACTCACAATTTTACATTCTGAAGTGCCTGTGATTTCTTTGGAGAAGATACTTAATCCCTTGGCATAACATTTCCTCATGCCATGCCCCTCACTGTGAGTGACACGAGGCAAGCAGGGAATAGCATTGCTCTGACAGGTTGGTGAGGGTGGTTTAGGTTGCATGGGTTGGGTTTGCAGTTCATGGTGCCACAGAGAGAACCACGAGGAATGAACGATGCAAACCCATCACCCCAAACCAGAACCAGTTCGGTCGCTGCCCTCACTTCCCACCCTGCTCTGCTCAAGCAGAGGGAGCAGACAGATCCCACTCACACTCAGCCTGTTCATTTAGTGCTGGATTTGGCTGTGGTGCTCCTACACTCCTTCCAGGAGTGAGGAAGGCTCACAAGCAGCTCCCTCACCCCAGCCTTCCTCAGCCACCAGGAATGACAAGCGAACATCCCACAGAGCCTCACACCTGCAGAGAAAGCAGCTCCTCACCACTGACCTGAGCAACTTGGCAGCACAAGTTAGATGCAATTGAACATCTGACTTACCTCTGCTTCCCCCCATGGACAGGTGCAGGTCTACAAGGACCACCACTGCATCAGTGCCACCGACAGGCGCATCCTCAACATGTTCATCTCCATCTGCAACGACCTCCGCAACCTCTGCCAGAAGCTGGAAACGGTGCACCCCGGGGACCACGTGACCAACGGCCTTTTGGAGAGGTGCAAAGTGCTCCTGAACGACAGCAACGACCTCAGTGCCATCAGGGCCACGTAGGTGCTTCCTCCAGCTCAGCCTCTGGGAGTCCACTCCTGACGCCGGCAGACTGGCACTGCACATTCCCACTGGACTTCCCCAGCAGTTCTCTCACAACACCTTCCCAGCTTTAGTGAGGGTACAAGGTGCTGCCCAGGTTGCTGTTGGGAAACCACTGTCAGCCTCCATTCACAGAAAGGGGGCTGGGTTTGTTTATTTATAATTTTTACTGGTGCATGGCAAGGCATTCACAGGCCCTGAAGTCCCACGCACCACGGGGTCACCACCTTGCAAGTTGTTCCCATAGTCCTGGTCCCTGTCCTGGTTACTCAGGTGCATTAACCTTTGTAACCCCAGGCAGGTCCCCTCCTCCTCCTCCTCCTCCTCCCCTCCCCAGGGCTCATTTCTGTGGGGGAAGTGTCTGTCCATTCTCTCAAAGTCTTCCAGGTCCATCCCAGCAGCCAGGGTGGTGTGTTTGGCAGGACTCATTCCTCAACATGCAATTCCATCCATGCCTTTCTGTTTTTGGGAAATGGCTGGCTGTGCAATCCTGCTCTTCCCAGGGGGATCTCAGAGGGGGATCTGTGGTCTCCCAGGGTTCCTCTGCCAATTGTTTCCTTTTGTCCCACAGATACCCCCATGGTGTTGTGAATTACCTGAGCTTTGAAGAAGCAAGGAATACTTATGGAGGTGTGGTGAGCCTCATCCCCATCGTTATAGACCACCTGAAGGAATGGGTAACCTACACTAAAAGGCACCTGCTGCATCAAGTGAGTCATGGACGTGCCATCTCCAAGAAGGAGGCACCCACTTCCCAAAAACCATCTTCTGTGCGCTTTGCAGCTCACACCTCCGTTAGTAACAAAAATACTGTGCAATTGCAGGAAAAGGATTTCCAGAAGTTCCTGCTTGAAAATCAACGTCCGAAACAAAAAGCTCCCTGGAGGCCACCGGGCAAACACCCCTATTAAAGGATCACACCTCCTGCTTACCACCTTTAATCAGCTGGCTGATTAAAGACAGTGAAATGCACACTAGAGATCTGCCCTGAGTCCACTTCCTGAAGAGCTGCCCTGCCAGCCAGCCTGGGACAGACACACACACTCTCTCCCTTGCTGATGTTTCCACTCTCCTCCTCAGAGTCATATCCAGACAGAAGTAGCTGTAGCTACAGCTGGTCCCTGGGACCAGCACTGCAGTGGGAGCAGGGAATAGTCAAGAGTCATCAGGTTGTAATCCCTCAGACATGAATCTTGGACAAGCCACTTGAAATGGTTTACACTCTCTGAGGAACATCCCCTCACTCCCCACGGCCAGCGGGGTGAAGA